ACAGTCCCATGATAGTAGAACACAAATCGGGACTTTCCTTTTTAAATCATTAAGTTAATTATATTTATGTAAAATATGAACTATGGAGGTAAACTGATTTTTTTTAGTAATTTTTAGTGCTTTCAAGTGTCCATTTCTCATAAGGACAGAGATTAGCACTTGTTTTATAATGTTCCAAAGGAACAATTGTCCAAAAGGGTTGTGTAATTGAAGTATACCTGCAAGAAAGTTGAATTACTAATTCATTGTGGTCTAATGTATAATCACTAATGGGAACTGATAACATTCTTAAGCTTGGGGAGGAAGCATAAAAGTGTTTGACACTTTAAAGTATCAGAATGAAAGCGGTATACCAGCCCTGCCAGATGGAAATATCAATGAGTGGTCTGCCATAGTTGCTTCCTATTCATGCCAAAGGAAAATAGTGCTTATCCAAGCTGTTGAAAATATTTTCCCTTGGTATTATTTAGCACATTCCTGTGTTATTTTTTCATATTTAATAATCCTTTTAAATCCATTGAACATCAGGAAGTGCATAACTGTTGAGGGTGCTTGAGATGTCTGATACATTAAGATTCATTTAAAATTTGACATTGTAGTTTTCTTTACTGTGTTTTCATCATAAAATATGTTGGTCTGTTTATTTGTGTGAAATAAAGCAAAAAAGTTACAATAGGATAGGATAGTCTTTGATAGGATAGTTTAAACTGCTGAGTTCAATTCCTCTCCCATGTGCAAACTCCAACTTAATGAGATGTATATGTTCTCTTTTTCATTATGCTTATGAGCTTGTTCACAGCCAGTAGCTGATAGGATAAGACTTATACAAATGAGACCAGGCAAAAAAAAAAGAAAAAGAAAAACCCAAACCAACAAAAAACAAACACACATGAAAAACAAACAATAGACTGTCACAGCCAGGTAGCAACTGATATTTAGTGATGTTGGTACCTGGACAACATATACAATGTAATTAATATTGAAATAAAAATGTGAACCCATTGAGAGATGTTACTAAAAAAATGCCTATTGCATATCAAGGGACACATGCGCCTATAATACAGCTTTGATCATCTTTAGTGATTCTCCCTGAACATCTTCCAAATTCTAAGGGTTATTTAACCTTTAGATGATGTTGTTATATATTTATTATTATCCTACATCACTTAAGGACTTTATAGCAGAATCAGATGTCCTAAAATATGCTATAGATCAAACAGAGCTATGAGCAGAGGCATAACAAGGCAGCTGGGTAGTAGAATGCATGGCAGCACCTGCAACTTCCACCTACCACCATGCCACCAGTGTGATCATGCTGTGTGGCAGCAATGGCAGCTGTTATTTTTTCTGGGAAGTTGGGAGTGGGATTATAGAGCAAGTATTTTAGCTAACTAACAATATTCTGATATAATGTCTATTTCAAGTTTTAGAATATATGAAAATTAATATTTATATCAGATGCATATTGGATATTTTAAATTCTTTTATACCGTCTTCCAGTGATTTGTCCCATTCCATATGTCTCATTCCAAAGGAGGATGTTTTAGGTTTTGCCCATTTATGCGTCCAAAGCTAACGTGGATTTTTGTTTGGCAACTGGCTTCAGTTAAATTCAGGGATCCATATGAAGTCAGTTGCAGGATTGGGACTCTTTTTATTTGGAATATTATATAAAAATCTGGTCACCTGTGGTCAAGAAAAACATTCAAGCTGAAGTAGATGCAGAGAGGGTCTGTTAAGGCTATTTGGAAAGAAAGTATTTATCTTATCTCTTCTCAGAATTTGTTTTACTGGTCTTCATAAGTTTACTCTTAAAAAATACATGAGGAGATAAACACTCAGGAGAGAATAAAGCCATTTAAGTTAAAAGGAAAAGTTGGCACAAGAACAAATAGAAATAAACTGAATATAAGTAAATATCAGGTGAAAATAAGAATGTTTCTTACTATTAGAGGAGTGAGGCTAGTGGGCTTCCAATAAAAATAAGAGTGAAAAACGCTAACTACTTTAAAAAGCTTGATTAATATAGAATAGGGGTGGTCTCAGTGGTTGCCCATGAACCACATGTAGAGTGGGGGAGGATAGGTTGCATGGGGCTAAACTGTGTTGGTGCTGCTCCCGTCCCGCCCCCCCCCCCCCCCCCCCCCCAACCTCTTGCCCACCACCAAATCAGGGTCTTCGTTTGCAGCTGGTGACTAGAATTGTGGGAGCCTTACAGCACCCCTCCCTTCCCTTCCACAGGGAAGCTGAGCTAAGGGTGGGGGGAAGGGCATGTCCAGGCCCTGGCAGGCATGAGTAAGAGTAAGGAGAGATTTAAACCCCCACATTGGCCTGCACGGTTCCAAGGGTAAGGGAAGAGTGAGCATGGCCAGCCCGCTGTAGCAGTGGAGCAGGAGGAGGGGAGAACTCTGCCACCACAGAAGCTCCATCCGGGCACACAGCCCTGCCTG